GGTCTCGTGGGGGCCGTTTTGGGGTCTCTCGTTGTTTGGGCCCTGCCTCCGAGAGATTTTAGGGTAGTTGGGGGGGCTTCTGCTTGTGCCGGGGGGGGGGGGGGGCTTTATTTTCGGCTGAGCGTCCCAGGCATTTTGGAAGATTCTCTGCGAGTTCTCAAGGCGGTTTGGTTGTGGGGGGGTTGGGGCGCAGCTTTGGGGCCTCCTGGGAGGTTTGGGGGGTTCCTTGAGGGGTTTGGGTGGTCCCTGGTGGGTTTTGGGAGTCTGTGCGTGAGTTTGGGGGGGGACATTTCTCAGGGTGACCCCTCGGTGGCTTTTGGGGAGTTTTTAAGGTACCTTGGGCAGTTTTGGGACCGTCATTATGAGTTAGTGGGGAGGTTCTGAGGGAGTTTGGGGGTCCTGTGGGGGGAGGTTGTGGGAGTCTCGTGTTTTTTGGTGCTCCCTGGGGCCTTCTGCCTCCCCGGCTTTGGGGTGACGCCCTCCCTTACCCACCCCCCCCAGATCGCGGCCAAGATCGGGGGGGATGCGGCGCCRCCGGTGCCAAACAACAACCCTCCCCCTCCCGACTTCGGGGGCTTCGGGGGGCAGAAACGACAGCTGGAGGATGGCGGTAAGGGGGGTATGGGATCCCCAAACCCGGCTTGAATTCCCCACASCGCGGGGCACCCCCAAAGCCTGGGGGGGGGCGATCGGGGGGGTTCCTAATGCTGCGCCCCCTYCCCCCCAGACCAACCTGAGAGCAAGAAACTGGCGGCACAGGGGGATGGTGAGTGCGCATTCGGGGGGTCCCGGGCAGGCGATTGGGGAGCAGCACATTTGGGGGGACTCCTGCAGTCCCGGGCTGTTCCCAGGCGGGGGGCGCTGGGGAAGGTCCCAGGGAAGTGGGGGGTTCCCCAAAGGGGATTTGGTGGCCTGGGAAGGATTGGGGTGGTCAAAGGGAAACTTGGGTGTCCTGGAGAGATTTCAGGGGCTCCTGGGGGAGGACTCAGGAAAGGGGGGTTAAGGGGGAGTTTGAGGGGAGAGGTTGAGGGGGTCCAGGGGGAGGTTGGGGGTTGGGCGGTTTGGGGTGCCTAGAGCAGGTTTGAGAGGCCTCGGCGGGTTTCTTAGCAAGTCCTTGGAATGGTTTGGGAGATTTTGGAGGGTTTTGGGGACTGGGAGAGGTTGGGGGGGGGGAGTTGGGGGTTTTGGGGGAAAGTTGGGGCACCCCCAGCACCCCCACATCGGGGGGACCCCCACAGGTCAGATTCCCCCCCCAGCGCTGCCGGCACCGATGGGGCCCATTCACCCCCCACCCAGGTATGGGGGGCCAGGGGGTTTTGGGCGAGTATTGGAGGGGGTGGGAGGGGTTCTTTTGGGGGTCCTGGGGGGAGCTTGAAGGGGAGGGTTCCTGGGGGCGGTCCTCGGGATTTGAGGGTTTTTTTAGGGGGATACTGAAGGTTTTGGGGGGAGGTTTGCGGGATCCTTGAGAGGGGGGTTGAAAGTTCTGATGGATTTTGTGGGGTTTTGGGGTGGTTTTAAAGTGTCCTTGGGGAGTTGGGGGGCTGTTGGTGGGTTATGGGGGATTTTGGAGTGCCCAGGGGGTTTCTGGGGTTCCCATGAACTCCTGGCACCCCCCCAGGACAACGGTGACGGAGGAGTACCGGGTCCCCGATGGAATGGTCGGCCTCAGTGAGTCTGGCAGGGTCCTGGAATGTCTTTGGGGGTCCTGGGGCATTGGGGACCCCATAGAGGATTTCAGAGACATCCCCAAACCATGCTCTGTGTGTCCCCCCTCGCAGTCATCGGTCGCGGGGGGGAACAGATCAACAAGATCCAGCAGGACTCGGGGTGCAAAGTGCAGATCTCCCCAGGTATGGGGGGGCTGAGCCCACCAAAACCCCTCTAGGCCCCCCAGATTATGGGGGACAACCCCACTGATCCCCCCATGCTCTCCCAGACAGTGGCGGGTTACCGGAGCGCAGCGTGTCCCTGACGGGCTCCCCAGACTCTGTGCAGTGAGTGACTCCAAACCCTCCTGGGAACCCCAAAACCCCCTCAGTAATCCCGAAATACTCTTGGGACACCCACAGATCCTCCAGAACTCCCTTAGGGACCCCCAAAATACCTCTTTAGGGGTCCCAATTCCCCTCGGGACCCCCAACCCCCCCCCAGATCTCCCCCGCACCTCCTCAGAGACCTCCCAAATCCCTTCCAAGCTCCCCAGTGACCTCCCAGATTCCACTGAAGTCTCCCAAAACCCTTTCCAATCTCCCCAAAACTCACAGATGACCCTTAAAAATCCCTTCCAGATCTCCCAGTGACTCCAAAACTTTCCCAAATCTTCCCCTAAACCCCCCTCAAATCCTCCCAGTGACCCACCCAACCCGTCCCCAGGAAGGCGAAGGCACTGCTGGACGACATCGTGTCACGGGGCAGGGGGGGGCCTCCGGGACCCTTCCCTGACGCTGCCAACGGCCAGAACGGGACAGTCCAGGAGCTGATGATCCCAGCAGGGAAAGCGGGATTGGTCATCGGGAAGGGCGGGGAGACCATCAAACAGCTCCAGGTGCTCCCCAAATTCCCCTGTGGCGGGGCTCAGGGAGGGTGTGAGGAGGTTTGGGGGATTTTGGGGTCACTGGGTGGGGGTTGGGGTCCCTGAGGGAGGTTTAGGGGTCTCTGATCACCCCCACGGGATTGGGAAGAGGGGRAGAGTATCCAACAGCTCCAGGAACCCCAGAACTGCCCCAGGGAGTCTCTGGGTGGTTTTGGGAGGGGTCAGCACTGAGGGGTCCCGGTGCCCCCCAGGAACGAGCAGGGGTGAAAATGATCCTGATTCAAGACGGTTCCCAAAACACCAACGTGGACAAACCCCTGCGGATCATTGGGGAGCCCTACAAGGTGCAGGTGAGAGGCACCCAAAAATCACCCCAAATAACCCCAGAGTGGCCCCCAAACTGATCCCCCCCAAACCCCCTTCCCAGCAAGCGTGTGAGATGGTGCTGGACATCCTTCGGGAGCGCGACCAGGGTGGATTTGGGGAGCGCTCGGACTATGGTGCCCGCCTGGGCGGAGGCATTGATGTGAGTGTGCCCACAAAATCCCCTTTGTCACCCCAAAATCCCTTTTGGCACTCTAGAATTCCATTTGGCACCCATGAATTCTATTTCATTCCATTCCTAAAATCCCATTTTTTACCATCACAAAATCATCATTTCTCAATCCAGAAAAGCCCATTT